AGCAATGTACGTTCCAATCGTGGTTGTTGTGGTGTTTGTAGAGGGATGCTCGGTAGGGGGGGAATGGAGTCGGCAACTCCTTCTCGATGCACGTGGCACGTCCCCCCCCCGCCTCCCGACTCACCCCCCACCACCGGCACGCGCGCGCGCGCGCGCGCGCTGACCGGAAGCGTCATCCTTATGTTAATGTTACAATTTATGTTAATGAGTTATGTCCCAACGTCACTTCCGCCCCCAGCGCGCGCGCGAAATTTTAAGCCACGCCCACCCACGTGGGTGCCGGGCTCCTCCCACTCGCGTCTCCTGTCACCGCCCACTCAAGCGCAGCCCCTCCCCCCTGACCGTAACCGCTCTGCCGACATTAACCTCGTGCTCGTTAGCTCGTAACGTAGGTTTCCCTAGCTAACACCATGATCCATATCGTCCGCGTGATAGTTTTAGGGCAAAACGATGTCAATGTAATCACTAATTTTGCACAAATTCTCCGCTTCGCGTTTTAGCTCCTCCCCTAATCTTAAGCCCCTCCCCCTTGACCTCTTTAAACCCCTCCCTCACCTCGTGAACTCCTCCTCCTCCTGGACAGCCCGCCACATGTCCACCACCATCACTCCCCGTACACGTATTGCGCATGGACAGTGCAGGGTACAGGTTGTTAGTGATATGGACGATGTTTTCTGGCTCGTTTTTACTTGGGGTGGTGGGAGGAGAGGGGTGCTCTCACGAGCTTCCGGATTTCCCTTGATGAACAGTTGCTTCTGACGCTTTGGCCTGGGGTAGATGCCAGCGCTACTGCAGTGCAGTGGGGGCCGCTTCGCAAAAGCAGGAAGGGGTGGTGGTTTGACTTTTCCAATTCAATGGACACGTTCTATCGCGTTGGTTAAACCTTGCGAGAGCCAGTCGAGACAGTGATTGGCGCGAGCGGCGATTATGTGTGAAGTTGACGCACTGCAAGTAGATGTAGCTGCATAGAACGAGCCAGGCATTTGGATTAAGATCGGTCAGGTCTATGCTTATTTTAATTTGGGACTGGTAGAGGTGATAGGAGGGGGGCAGTGTTAAGGTCCCTTGTCATTTGTGATGGTCAGGGTTAGGGCTGCTGCAGGAGATGGGATTAGACTGATATATAGTTAGTCATGGTTGGGTCAAGTTTACGGTTGTTGGTGCAGGAGGTGGGGGGAGATTGGGTTCGAGTTGGGGTCATCTGGTTAGTGTCGTCGGAAAGGTTAAAGTCAAGGTTAGAATTAGGCTTCGAGTCTGGGTCATGGGTAGACTCGGGAGTCAGGGCTACAGGAAGTGAAAATAAAACTGGGTTCAGCATCTAGGCGCAACACTTTTGTCGGGGTCATGGTTGGTGTGGTTCCGCTCTTTCCCATCTTGCCCTCTCAGCCCGCGTGCTCAAAGTGCGTCCATCGCGCTCCTCCTCCTCCATCGTCAATCAAAACAGAGAGCGGTGGGCGTTCTGCTCGCATGCCAATGGTGACGGCCCCGTCGATTTCCCACAACGAATTAAGCGCCACCCCGTCGCTGCCGACCAATGGCACGCGCGCCTATGCCCTTTGTAGACTGGAAATTATAACGCGAGGCACTGCCATGAACGGGGACCATGTCCTCTGAATGACGATAGTCAAATAAGTTTTAGCTGATGAACCCTTTGGCTTTAGTCGCGACCTGACCATCGCGAAGCTGTGTATGATGAAAATATTAATTTGCGCCCGTCTGCAGAGATAACTCTTAAGTCCGCAGTTCATGTATTGCTAAATGTCAAGTGTGTGGGATATGTGACATTGAAATATACTGTGATGCACCCAAATAAGTTAGTCACTTGGTTTTTTATTGAATCACTTGAGAGCACATAGCCTTTCATTATCTCTTGACCTTAAAGTGAGAGCTCGTTGTGTTTCGTTATTGCTTTTGCCTTATTTCGCTTATTTAATTTGGTGAGAGGCTGTTGCAATTATTTTGCGTTCTCACCAAGCTCGTGTCCTTTTGTTTAACAATGGAGTGCCGACTGAGTTCACTGTCAGTATCATCGGATACTTTGGCATTTGTTTACGTATGGAGATACTGTAGTTATAACGATGAATACAATTACAATGGCATCCTCATCATGAGCCATGGTCACAATCCACATTGCTGGATGAAGACCTCCCCAAGCCACCATCAACTTTCACAATCCTGCAGTGTGTAATAAGTTACTGAGCACTTGCTACACATGAGTTTATTTGGTTACTCCATCTCTTTAGTAAGACAGTCTTTCAGTGACGTTCCATTCCTTGGCTACCACTCCGTCATTATTCTTGACCATGGGCCGTCTTCCCTTCCAACTATATACATTATTGTATTCCAACAGTCACATACACGCAAATTGTAAAATGAACGGACCGTTAAATACCTCGTGTGATATGCAATATTCCTTAAGGACCCCGTACCCGTTCTCTGCAATGTTGATGTTTCTGTTTAACACGTAGGCTTTCGCGACCAATATTATTCATAATTAACGTTTTTGGGTTAGATCGCGTTATTTATAAATGTGTCGTAACTCTCCACCACCCGACATGGCCAATCAGCAATTGCCCGATGATGCTGGATGTAATTACCAGCGAAACGTCGTACTCAAAAAATGTTAATGTTGGGGATTCACTCTTCAACACACCGGTGGGCTAAAGTAGTGAACTATTTGTCTTTTGTCAACGTGACATTGTTTTTGCTGATTGGCCGTGTCGGGTGGTGGAGGGTTACGACACATTTATAAATAACGCGATATAACCCAAAAACGTTTATTATGAATTATTATGAAGTTGATGTTTCTGTCTGTTTTGTTGCTGTGCTCAAGTGCCACGGATCTCCCCTTTGAATTAGTTGGGAAACTGAGAAAAGTGATCTACCGTGTAATACATTGCCTTTGCTTTTTCTTAAACAGTTTCAGTTATATCCTTGGTTCTTTCGGTAAAGTCACGTAGAAGGGAAATAATAAAATAATATAAATATAAAACAATAAAATAAATTTTCTTGCTGTGGATTTCACAGCTGATGATGATTGCTTGTGTTGTAGTCGAAACGTCGTGAGAATTTTTTTTGTTTTATATTTATATTATTTTATTCTTTCCCTTCTACGTGACTTTACCGAAAGAACCAAGAATATGAATCCTTGCAGTCACGAAAGCTTTAAATCAAAGTTTCGGTTATATCTACCCTTTGTATTCTGTGCTCGATATGGTCCTCTTGCTGTCTTTCAATTGAAACCATTCCTATCTCCATTCTTCTTTGCTCAGTTATAATGATCGAGTTGTCATCACCATACAATTACACAGTTATGACTTAATCAGTTTTGGGATTTGTATTTTTACAAAATGACCTACTTTTAACCAAGTTGATATGTCAATCTTTAACATTCACTTTGCGGCATTCTTTGCTCATTAGTGCTTTCACTACAGAATTTACCTGGCGGCATAATCAGGAATCCAACATTGAGCTTCTTGAATACCATTCAGTTGTGATCCTTCATTGACCACTGAGCTATTCATACGTTCTCAATATCATTACCAAGTGCTGGTTATAAATGCATAGCAGTAGGATGTGGTGTGCTTTATTGTTCAGCCATGAATCTGTATTAATGGCTGAGTAATGGCAGGTTCTGTTTCAACTTGGATGATGAAACTAAGGAGCCATCACTTAGGAGGAGTAATTGTGCAGAAAATATCCGCGTGAGCACTGCGCAGATGTTTACGTCTTGATACTTAAATCGTGTGTGCACGTCCCCCAGTAACTTGTGCTGCTTCAGACACGCCACTGTGCCATGGGTTGATTATCCGATTCCAAAGAATGGAAGGAAGGATCTTTAGGCAAGTTAAAGCTACACGTGTATAGCCTAAAATGCTTTATAAGCAACTAGAGGGGGGGTTTATCTCCTAAATGTTTGGCTGGTTTTTCATTATCAAGTGATTTGACAAAAGTGTACAGGAAATCCATTAATTCGTCGAGAGACTGTCCAACTCTTGCTCGTATAGGTGAGACACGTCTTTCCTATGCTGCTGCTGAAATCATACTTCATTGGACTCTATTCGGTGCTTGGTGGACACCATAGCTCTCAACCCTACCTTCACATGTTTAAATAAATAGTTGCTTTTTGAGACCTTTAAGTTATATAAATATAAAGACAATGGGTATTTTTTATGCCTTCGTTAACAAAGAAAACACTCTTTTTTTCTGAAGCTGCTTATTAAAATCCAACTTGAAAGTTTGAAAATCAAAGAATCTTCTGTTTGGAGCTACAAACTCCAATCCATTCACCATATAACTTGGCAGTGTATCTGTAGTTCACCAACTCGGGGAAAAGCTTTTGAATGGCTAAATCACTTAGAAATTATTCTTTAAATGTTGCAAATCATAGGCCATATGCAAGAAGCTTTAAATGCAGTGTACGTGTGTGTGTGTTTCTAAATACAGTGCTACTAATTTGCTTGCCAGTACGATGATTCATCCACGTTGGGGCGCCTCTCCCATCGTACCCAGGAGCCATTCATTTCTACCCAGGAGCCAGAAATGAATTAGAAAGTGGTGACACCATGACCCAGAATAAGGACAGGGATTGCAGCCCCTGAACCACTCCACACTCCCCAAATGAGGTCACTCCGACAACACAGAGAAGGCTGCTCAACGATGTCATTGTCCAATTTGCCGTGCGCCGCCATACTGAAAATTCTGTAATGAGCGTCTATCGGCCGTGAGCGCTTACCGTGCTGAGGAGCAGCGTTAGCATAAAAATGTCAGCACTGTGGTGATGGTCTTGCGGTGAACAATTCTATCCACGCATGCCTCTGTCCGGCATGCCTGCCGCCATCCGTCTTTGCTGATATCCTCGACAAGTAAATGTGTCGTCGTAGCTTGATGCTGCAAGTGGCTCTCACGATCCATGTTACGCGAGCACGGAAGGTCGCTGCCGCTATGTCAGCGGAGAGTAATTCATGATGCCCTGACGTCGGCATTCGACGTTAGTCGCTCGTGAGATGAGGCGAGCCTTAGGGCGGCTCCCGAACAAGGGTGATGGTGACCTCGTACCTCCTCCCTCCTCGGTGGCCGGGTTGTTTCTTGCCGGTCGCTGCATGGAAGTCGCCGAGAGAACGAGATGCGAGTAGCAGGAACGTGCCGTGGGGGATGCCCTGCAGGTTCTGTTGGGATTAATATCGGCGGTTGGCGCGTCGCACAAAATTTTTTGTGGAGTTCCTCCCCCGTGTGGCGGCTTTACAGCAGATTCTGGGTGACTGCATTCTCCGGCTCTTGGGCAGGCGAATATAAAAATCAAACGAAGCCCTGCGTCTATTTTCACAGCATGAATGCACTTGTTGTAGAAGTTAATTAGCAAGGTAGAGTATCAGACTATTCTGCTTCAGTTGAAATATTTTACTAAAAAAATGTCTGCTTTTTCTTGTCCAATTTACATTTATAGACTTTGTTCTGGTGTTTAATAATATCCTACAATGCTGACAACATGACTCTTGTGGTCTCTTAATTTAATGTTGGATTTATTCGGCACTACATGCACAGTGCTTAAATTGTATTATTACTATATTTGTTTGTGTCCACCAATACATTGCCCACCGCACTCTCCACCTGTAATTATATGTGCATTTATCCGAGGTCTCCTGTACGAATGAATTGTGCAGCTTGTGGCCTCCCACTTTCTTTTAAAAATGCAAAGTGGAATCATAAATAGCACTTAGGCTTCTTGGTGACAGCGCATGGATCTTGTGACGTGTGTATGTGGTGTCATTTTGGGACACGACAAGGGATTTTTCCACTATTTGCAGGATGAGCAGCGTCTGTCTCACATGGTAATAGTCTGGCAGCTGTGTGCGTTTGCATGCACCAAGTAGCATAGTGTGGTCTTTCACCGTGTTATAATCCCTCGCAATCCTCATTTGACTCGTGGGCTTTCACGCCATTGACATTTGAGATCGCTCACGACTCTGGGCCTCCCATTGGTGTTGACTCGATGTTAAATAAGCGGCGAGTGCAACATGGTCAACAACCGCACAGAGGATACAAAAGGTGGTCAGGCGTGCAATGTGTCGCTTTAATAGACACTAACCATTAGCACTTGAGATCAATAAAGCTAATCGAACATCTTGTGTATGTGTGTATTTGTGTGTGGTACGGAGCAGTGGTACAGTGTAGCTGGTGCATTGCACTATGAACCCAGAGTTTCATTCCCAGCCATGGATAACAAGTAGCAAGTGCAACCTGTTATAATCCACCACTAGGTCAACTCACCCTTAAATGAATATTGAGTATGGTGTGTGTGTCTGTTTATGCATCTGTGTGTTACTTTTTATGCCTCCTGTATTATCTGCGTTTTGTGTGTATGTATCTGTTTATGCATGTGTGTCTGTATTTGTGTGTTTATGCCTCTGTGCGTGTGTGGTGTGAGCAGAGGTGCTACTGCGAGGTGGAGGACTGCTTTGCGCGCTACGAGGCCGAGACAGAGGGTGGCCCCCGCGCCCGCGCACTGCAGATGCTGCAGGTCGCGCTGGTTCGTGCGCGCGAGCTCGGCGACGAGAAGCTCAGCCATCGTCTCTATGGTGTCCGATGCCGCGGAGTCGCGCTGGCGGCAAGCCGAGGCCCTCGCTCGCTTGGCCGATCAAGAAGAGACGGCGGCTGCAGTGGCGGCGGCCGTAGCGGCCGGCGAGACCGCACCAGGGACGGCCGCGACTCCGACGGCCGGCGTCACTCGTAGGGACAAAGCGGGCGACGCCGCCGCCACCGCGGCGGCGGCAGCCGGGATCGGCGGGGCGGGCGGGCGGCACGAAAACAATCAGCACCCGCACACGCACGCGCAGAACCACTTCAACAACCACCACACGTCGCACCACCCCAACCACGCCGCGACGACGGCGGCGGCGGCAGGGGGAGGAGGCGGGGGAACCGGCGGAGGGGCCGGCAGCGGTGGGGGCACGCCCGTCCTGGAGAAGGGCGCTGGAAAGAGGTCGCACCGGCAGCGCAGCAAAGAGACGCTGGAAAACAGCCTGGCAGCCAATGGGGCCGAGGCGGCGCAGTTGGACGAGGCGCCGAAGCCCAAGAAGGCGCGCAGCACCGGAGGTGAGGAGAGGGACGACGCACGGCGTAACTCTCGGCACGGCAGGACAGACCAAATCCGCTTCTGTTCTGTCACTCGTGGTATGGCGGCTAACAATGGTCATGGCGGTTGCTTCCTGTAGGCCTTTATTTTTGCTTTTAAGTCATTTATGCTGTCAATCCACTTTATGCAAAGCAAATTGCCTTCCTTTCAGAGAGCTGCTGCTCAGCACAGAAGCAGAAGGTCCCCACTTCGGTCTTTAAAAAATATATATATATCCCTAGCACCCTTATTCTGCTGGGCTGTGGTTCACATAACCTGTACAGTCTTCTTCTGAAGTTCTTGGGTTCCTGCCTGTTGCGCTGTAATTTTAAACGTATTGGTGGCCAATCACAGGTATCATGTGGTGATTAGACACAGCCTCCGGTCACGTGACTGTTGGGAGGCCTATCAGATGGAGACCATGACATCATCTGGTTGGCTCCACCCTAAAGTCAATGAGGGGTGGGGGGCGGATCCAAAATAAACCAGCCAGCATTTGAGCTGTCACTGTTTTCAGCAATTGTAGAATAACATATACCGGGAAACATGAAATACATAAAATACATTTTTGGCAAAACCATTTAATAAAAAAGCATTTCATTTTTTTTGCAGGTAAATTACACTCGATTTGCTCTGTAAATTATCCCATCAGTGGCTTATTTATGCAGTTGTCTGACAAGGCAGAGTTGTATTTTAAGTACACATTGCTTAAAATTAAATCATTCTCATACATTGAAAATGCATGCATAAATTCTCAACAACCCAACAAAAACAAATTTAATTTTTTTCAAGGAAATATTTCCGCTGCTACCCTGCATAATTAACCTCCGAGGAACCAACTGCATACACGTTTGCCAATTGTCATATCATACATCAAGTCCACTTTTTAATCTGGAGGTACCACTGCCGAATGAAACTTAAATGATGGTGGCAGCGATGATGACGACCACGTAAACCGCCATCAACATCGCGTGCTGCGTGTGGCACTGGCGATCGCAGGTGGTGGCGGGAAGAAGAAAAAGAAGCGGTCATCTGTGGGACGCGGCGGGGGCAAGACGGAGCCGCACTCGCCACCCGAGCTCGACCTGTCCACGGTCGACCCCGACGAGCCCACCTACTGCCTCTGCAACCAGGTGAGCTCGCCCGCACCGTACCTCCAAAATCATAGCTCCCCCTAATAGTCTTTTTTTGGGTTCGATCACGTAAATATTAATATGTTGTTAAAGCCCGCTACCACCCAACGCAGCCAATTAGTAAGGTTTGTCACTTGAACAAACCACTTGATACAGTAACTCTAGCTGTGACGGTTGCACCTGATGACAGAGACTTGTGTTGCCTCCGAAACGTCGTGATTTATAATTTTATTTCTATTTTTTTTATTTTTACCTACGTGACTTTACCGAAAAAACCTAAGAGTTTGAAAAAACCATGCGAATTCGTTATTAGTTGAGCACAGCGGTGTGTTAGAGAGTAAACCCACAACATTTACAATTCGAATACGACGTTTCGCCGGCGATTACAACCAGCCTCATCAGGCGACAGCTAGACAGAATTGTGGATAAATCCTCCTGTTTCGGTCTTAAATAGAGGGATAAATGTGACGTCATCACATGTGAGCCAATCAGGTGCAAGGACCAGAGGGGGTGGGGTTAGCTTAGCACTATGTAAGAATGTCACAAATACCGAATGTATACATTATTTGCTTCGTTAAAAGATTTCTTGAGTTGCCAAACTTCAGTCCCACTTTATATATAATGGTATGGTAATGGATTTTTTTACAGTCTTTGTGGCAACTGCTGCTATGCTACAGCCTTCGTTACGTTATGCAGCCCTGCCTGCGAGCAACTTGTGTGATGAGGTTTCAGCCGTTTCTCAGTTATACATCGCCCCCTATTGACAGATAAATTTTCACTTGCAGGCCGGCGCTACGGTCGCCTTGTTGCCGCACAACGACAGATGTCAATGGGGTGGCCCAATGGCTAAACTACATAAGGGCAATGCAGCGTCAGAGATGAATTGCCACTTGTGTTTATGTCAGTTTCCCACCTAGTTGCAAGAGATGGCAGTACAGTTGTGCAATTGTGGGCTATTTTACATTCTGGAGGAAAAAAAAGAAAGCATTTTGTTACCAGCCGGTATCTACATCCGAGTTTGTGAAAGTAATTTAAATACATTTTAAGTTATTGGTATTATTTATGTATGTTGAACTTTCTTTGCACCGTACATAGCCGACAGTGCTAATCAGAGGTATGGGAAATTACTGTAGTGTTTGTTTTTGAAAATGTAAAAATATGAAATGGCTTCCATCCGGTCATCTTTCAAGACAATGATTTGATTACCTGTGACCTTCTGCTGCCATTCCCTTTAGGGGGGTGAGTATAATTCTTTTGTGGAATTTCAGAGGTGTGACACCATTTTGGATGTGGGCAGTGATTTTTTTGTGTAAGCTGGGTATTAAGAGATAGTGAGGCTATTACCACCACACAACTCATGTGGCCTCTTTCCATTATCATTCTCTTGTGCTATCCCATGCTGACCTAGCACATCTCCATTAATCACACTTGTTGCCTCCCTGAAGACAGCGCTAATTCAACATTGATTACAAGCAGGGTTGTAGCCTCTCAAATATCATGGAACTATCATGATGTACACCGAATCTGTAGGGCTACGACATGGCCACTATATAACAATACAGAAAATAGGTTTGCGGGCCATCTGTGCTTTTGCATGGAAAAAAAGTTGAATAATCGTCAAACGCTAAACATTTGCGACTGACTTCCTTGTTCCCTCCACTTGTACCTCTTTCCCCGGGGACCACTCCCCGTGCGCCCATCAGGTGTCGTATGGAGACATGATCGGCTGCGACAACGAGGCTTGTGCCATCGAGTGGTTCCACTTTGGCTGTGTCGGTCTGAGCCACAAGCCCAAGGGCAAGTGGTTCTGCCCGCGCTGCCGCGGCCCCAACGAGCGCACCATGGATCGCGCGCTGCTCGAGAGGGCACGCAAGGAGCGCGGCTGCGCCAGGTAGGGGGCCCCGCTGCCGCCCACGTGCTCACCGCCCCCGCGTGCCAGCCACACAGTGGGGGGCACAGTGCTGACCAAGTGTTTCCATTCATTCTAGATTTGAAGCTTTCGTGACTGCAAGGATTCATATTCTTAGGTTTTTTCGGTAAAGTCACGTAGGTAAAAAATTTAAATTAATAAAATAAAATAGAAATCACGACGTTTTGGAGGCAACACAAGCTTCCGTCTTCAGGTGGAACCGTCACGGCACGACTGCTGCATCAAGTAAGAGAAATTCCAAGTCGTGCTGTGACGGTTCCACCTGAAGACGGAAGCTTGTGTTGCCTCCGAAATGTCGTGATTTTTATTTTACTTTTATTAATTAAAATTTTTTACGTACGTGACTTTACCGAAAAAACCTAAGAATACAAGTGTTTCCAGGTAGCCCGGCCGGTAACTCGAAAACACGCTTGAGTTATGGCGCTTTGGCCGATATGCGTGTGTGGAGGAATGAGTGGCGCACAGTTGCTGCGAGTGGTTGTATTAGACTAGGACCAGGATGGAAATAGAAAAATAATATTTTTATACATATATAGAGCATGTAAATACAACACGCTTATCAAGATGCTGTACAGGGCAAGTGTATAAACATAACAGCGCACGACAAAATAAAAAAACATACAGCTTAGCAGATTTAGCGGCAACATTGTTGTATTTGATGCATACTTGTCGCTGCAAAGTCTTTCATGTTTTAAGCGGAATAGCAAGCTAGGAAGTGCAAGAGCGATGTCTTTTGTACAGAGCAGAGCTCAGGTTTTGTTGATGTTCTGACGTTTTTTCGGACCTGCTGTGGCTTTTAGGGCCTTTATTACAGACTGCCACGCTGTGTTGTTTTAAAGATGGCGTATGAATTGGCGTTTGAACAATGGCATTAATGAAAAACAATCCTGGGTGCTTTTCCCATGTGTGGACTTCCCAAAGCAAAGGTTCCTTTTGAGAAGCGATTGTGTTGAGGCCCCTACGGAAAAGATTGTGAGCAGCGCGAAGGCCTTTAACAGTTGTCCTGTCGTGCTGTGCGGCCCCACGGCGCCCCCACGGGCCTGCTGCTCGTGTCAAACTCCTGCTGCTCGCGGATGTTGCGCACAGTTATTGATCGTGGCCTTCGAATTTGGGCCAATGGTTTAATCTCGTTAATCTTGTTTAATATTGTGAGAAGTATACATTGTGAGATGTCGAAAAAACTATATGGCTGGAAATTAACATCTTTATTTAATAAAGTCAAACTTTTAACATTTTCAACAAATGTAAACGGCAGCCTTTTTTGTTATTTGTGCTCGTGCACCTCTGCCATCACAGTATCAACAAATAATTAGTTTTTTTGTTATTTGAGCTCTTAAGAATGTGTTTATTATGGTATGTGTGTGGTGGAAACATACATAGCCTGGCACAGTCGTCATGGTGACCGGTGGTGGCCGCGTAAGGCATGTGCTGTCAAGGTGTCAAGAAACTTTCACCCAAACACGAAGAACATGACACAGCCAACAGTTTTTCTACATTGCTAAAATGATATTTTCTAAAGCACTAGTTGACATCTCCAGTGGATTTTACTGTGAATCTCCAAGAGTGCTAATGAAAGTTGCGCGTGTGTAAAGCACCCTGTAAGTGCTAAACCATGTCTGCCCTTTCACTTGACACGTCTTGAGAAAGGAAGGTCTAACCTGGCTCATACAGTTTATGAAATAAGGGCGGCACCTTATTTGAAGGCACTATGATCATAATAATAATAATGACTCTTAATAGGTTAGGGGCTTTGTTGCAATCATCCAAAAAGAAACAACAGTAAACACCTCTTAGTGGCAGAAACTGACATTTATTTTTCTATTCGGAGTAGAAAATTGGACAAATTGGCAGGAAAGTGGTGATTCGGCATAAGACGTGCCTCTCTGCCAACTCAAATCAGACCCTTCATTCGACATCCTATGGACTTTCCAGATCTTAGTGTCCCACTATGAGCATTAGCACCTGCAGCGGGGGGAGTGGGTGGAGACTATGACGCGTGCCAGGGCTGAGCGTGCATGCCACGCCGTGTGTCGCGTGCAGCGCCAAGAAGGTGGACGGCGGCGTGGTGTCGGCGGTGGGACGTCCCCCGGCGCGACACGTCACCTGAAGGCACGCCGGCCCACGGCTTTCCCCCCCACATCCCGCAAGCCCTGCCAATGACCTAAGAAAGGACACTGCTGTTTGTAACGGTGTGAATAAAACGAGAGGGGATAAAAGGCACGCAAATAACATGAAAGAAAACAGCCGACGACGACGACAACAACGTGGACTATACAATGAGCCGAGCAGAGATGGCGACACGTGAACGGCACGAGAACTGCGCGCCACCTTCCTCGTAACCACGCAAAGGGTCTTGTCGTAGCTCACGCCGCCTCCTTAATAACTAGTGGTAACCAGTCTTTTTGTATGAATTCTGTGTATTCAGTAATACGAATGCTCGCTTAAAAAAAAAGAGGACACGGTTTTAGACGTTAGGCCCCTGCCATGTTGATCAACCTTCACCGCCGCCAGAGGTAGCGCCGCCACTCCAGCGTGCGTGGACACCGGCCGGCCCCCCACGCTCACAGGGCAACGCTTCACTTCGGCTTAGATTGTTAAACGCTGTAAATACTGTATGTTTTTTTTCTAAAATATTTTAAAGAAAAAACTTTGCTGTACATAAATCTCACATGAAATTTGTAGATGTTGTCATTTTCAACATTGAAGTCTCGTCCTGTTTGTATGATGTCATTTGTGATGTTTCGTATGATTATCGATATACAAATCACAAACCGCAATTTTATCAGTATTTAAAGGTTTGGTTTTTTTATTTGACAATGCTAGCCAAATGTCCCGAACTTTCTAGCTATATATATAAAGATTTTTTGAAATTAGAAAAGATAAAAAGGTTTTTTGAAATGAATTTAAGGTTCCATTTGTTTTTAATGTTGTGTGTTTAACTTTGTAAAAGTAAGCATTGACAGTAAAAACTCAGTGTAAATAGGGTTTACGTAATAAAATATTTAATATACCATAGCATCCGGCTGTAGTATTTGGTTTGTCATGAGAGTTTTTGTTTTTAATGAAAATACCAAAGTACTATATACGCGAGTGGTTTGTTGGACTTTGTCAGTAATCCGACTCCATATAAAATATAATATTTATAATGCAATATTAATGGTTTCCTTGGAAAATAGACAAATGTTAAGAGTTATCAAAGCAGAGCTGGTCTAGAAATAATTGTTTTCACCAATATTATTTCTTCTGCTTGGGAAAGCTTTGTTTATTGCCCAACTATTCAAGAGCATACATTTCCACCATTCCTCGTTCATTCTCTACATCCTGTAATGAACAATATTCAGCATTAGATCCTCATGTGGCCCTGTGTGCCTGAGAACAGCTGTGCAGAATGGTTTTACAGAACTAATGAAACACCCTTAATTAGTCCTTTTTATGTTTACACAAAGTAAACAAGCAGATGCTGTAGGGGGTGCACTTTTCCAGCACTGCTATTATATTTTGTGTTCATTGCATGATAATTAAAGTTATTTTTTAATTCTTTGAGCTCGCGAATTTAGCCATATTAATCAACTAACCACGTCAGTATGATGCTTTTTTTGTACAGGCATTGGTGACCAGGCTGAAACCATCCACTCTCAACACGAGTCACTGCCTAGGTTTGAAACCAGGATCTCATTAGTGCCAACTCACCACTTTAGCATCTGAGTCACTTGGTCATCCCGTCTGTATTATACTGTATTTTCTTTCAAAAGAAGCCTCTCCACTTGATTTCGCAGATGCTTCTGTTAAGACTGGTTGCTATATTTTACGCCCCAGCCTACTAATGTTCTATTTGGAAGGGAAGGTGTCCGTACAAACACAAGTATTATACACTTATCGAATCATCTTTTGAATTCCATTCTTTAATTATTCATATTCGTATGTTGCAGTGTATTGGATTAACTAATTTAACCCTGCCCATTTAATGAAATACCTTTCCATTTAATGAAATACCTTTAGATGTTAATGATTCTACATTCAAGTTGGGACAAGGAAAAATCTATTCCCGAGTTTGTGTCTGGTTTAAGGGCGAAAGTGCAGAAATCGCACACCTGCTCACCAAGAGAAATCCCATGCATTCTTGTCAGTGTGGATGTAGGGATATTTTTCTAACAAGTTTCAGCAATATCAATTATGGATACTTCAATATATTTTAAAACTGCAATAACACCACTTGGCTATAAAGATTCACACCCCGGCAGATTCTGCAGGTTAACGCCTGTAAATTCGTGCCATTGTATATCTTACAGGAGCACATTACAGGGATTTTTACAAAACAGCACTATACTACAAACTCGCACCACTAGATTCATATCGATGTGGATTCTATATCGTCACGCGACATTATTTTCTACAGCTTAACACGGCTGTATTACAGATTCACAGTTCCATTTCTGGCCACGTCTATCATCGATGACGAGTGAACCGATGCTGGGACGTCACTTCACGAATCTCTCACCCGCCACCTTGGTGAAGTATTGTCAAACGATTTAAAGCTTTCGTGACTGCAGGGATTCATCTTCTTGGTTCTTTCGGTAAAGTCACGTAGAAGGGAAGTAATAAAATAATAAAAATAAAACATAATAAACAATTAGGGTGGGTAGAATAATACATAGTGTTATATTAAAATGGATAAGGCAGCAACTGCAGCAGCAGCAGCAGCAACTGCAGCAGCAGCAACTGCAGCAGCAGCAGAAACTGCAGCAGCAGCAGAAACTGCAGCAGCAGCAGTAACTGCAGCTCCCTTTGATGCTGTTAATCCTGCATAATGCACATGCATATGCAGTACTAATCACATTCCTGCATTTCCCATAAATATGCTAAATTCCTTTTGATATGCAAATTCCTTTGTCAATGCGCCCAGCTTATATATATGCTCCAAGCTCGTGTGCTGTTTCATTCAGACTCTGTCGCCTCGACGGACCTGGTTTTCACCTGAGGACGGCTGCTTGCGTTGTGGCCGAAACGTCGTGAGAATTGTTTTATTATGTTTTATTTTTATTATTTTATTACTTCCCTTCTACGTGACTTTACCGAAAGAACCAAGAAGATATTGTCAAACGTTCCCCGTGAACTGGCGGTGCGGGAAGGCTTTTGTCCAGCAGTGACTTGATTGCTGTTAGATACATTCTGGATATTCACGGATACAAACACGTGGATCACAGAACACAAATTAATATATATTGTTGACAGGATAGTAATTGGGCTTGGGCAGGACACAACACCAGTAATTGATGGCTGATAGTCGAGATTGATGACATTGGCAGTGGTAAAGAAGAGGACGACCAGCGTTAGAGATGGAGCGATTAAATCAGCTCCTGTGCAGGGGCGACGTGGATTTTTGCATCACAATACTTGAATGGAGACCGCTTGGGGAGGCCTCTATCTAGCAGTGACTAGATCATGGCTGATAATGTAAATACGATTTTTGTTGTTTCTACAAAACGCATGCACTGCCAGGAATTCGTGTATGTGTGAATGGCGCAATGTGAAATGTTAACTGCCGTTATTTTAAATCGTGCCAAATGTATAGCCATACATGGGTCATCAAACCATACCGGACCTCAAATTAATTCCCGCACCTCCGATGAGTTCGGTTGGCTACGTACGGTGCGAAAGAAGTTCAACATCCGTACTGCACATGCCCTACGCATGTGACCCACAGCATGTTTTGTGACATGCTCATGCTCAAGCGTGGGTGTCACACTGAAGCTCCACGTGTTTGTCAGCAGAGGCATTAGCCATGCAGGTAGTTTTCATCCGGGCCAGAATGTTTGTCGATTCAGAAACGCGAATTAAGTTGGACAGCGCCACACGGGGTCACATCTGATGGCTCGTCCTGTGGATATTAAATGGTTTAGTGATGTTGGAATAGAGGTGACAACCACCACATTCTTAAGCCTTTTCTCTGGGTGTCATCAGTGCACACGATTTCAGGACACGTTCTGCATGAGATTCAGTAACGCAACATTAGTGGCGGGGTACATCTGGACTTACATTCTGTGTCACCACTATTATGGGGAGTGTTTTGAAAGTGTGGTTTTTTTGCGGGGGGGGGTGTAGAAAAAGCGAAATAAAAACAGGACAAGCCATAAAAAAATCTTATAAAAATACATGTAAAGATAAGGAATTAAAATCCATAAGAAACTATACGCAAAAAGAACTGCGTAAACGCATGGGGGAAAGAACGAGGAAAGAAATTGGAGAATACAACTAAAAAATAACTGAAGATGTCATAACAAGCAATGTGAGCGTGACATCTGCACTTTTGTTATGATTCCTTCATCGCTAATAGCGGCCCTTGGCCCGACATGGAGCCACAACTCCTGATACGAGATAGAATCCGGTTAGGAGAATGTTCAACATCAGAAAAACTCTTTTAAATGGTTACTTCCACGGGGGGGGGGGGGGGGGGGGGCGTGACGTCATCACGCACGAACCCGGCCCAACGCTGTGGGGTGCGCGTGACGTCACCGTGCGCGTTGACGTCACCACGCACGTGTGCGCGTTGACGTCACCACCGCGCACGTGCCCGCGCGGCAGCCAGCCAGCCTGCAAAACTTATTTTGTAATATACAGCACTGTTATAATACACTTACACTCGATACAAATTATAATAGTAATAATAGTTTAGACTTGTAAATCGCACACATTTTCACTCGAAACGTGAGAACGACTAAGCGGGGTGAGGATCCACAATTGCCCGAGCTCTGGATCCTCTATATATTAAGATATTTACAAACAAATTAACTATACACGTGGCCGGCAACCGAAGCAACGAGAGAAGCTACACATGTGCGAGGGTGGGCGACGCTATCTCCGTACAGATGGCGGGGTTACGCCGCTTGCTGCATTGGTGACAACGACCACGTAGTTTGTGTTTGCATCATTTGTGTGATCAACCAGGCACTAACCCTCGCTTCCACACGTGCTGGGTTAGAGGCGTGTGGCACCACTCACCAGTGCCCGAGGTCGTTGTGTGCATTATGCACGTATTTAATAAAATAAAAAGTCAAATATATCAAGACTAATTAAGTAGAACGCGTTGAAACAATGGAGAGAGTGAACAAAGGAACATGTGAAAAACGCATGGATATGTGCACGCTTGTAATTCAATCGAGAGACAAGAGGGACGTGGATTCGACTTAGAGAACGTAGCCACGTTGAATATATCACACTTAAGAATCGGAATACTTATTTATACTGGAGGAATCCGATGAGCTATGAAGCTCTTTTCACAAATATCCACTAGGGGCGGGTCAGAACGTTAAAACCACAATACAAAAACACGACAGGAGTGCAAAGTTTAGGGAAGATACACAAATTACTTTTACAAATACATTCAAATAAAACAAAACCATTTTTTGACCTTACCAAATGAAGCACACTAAATTTCGATTTAAAGCTTTCGTGACTACAGGGATTCAGCTTCTTGGTTCTTTCGGTAAAGTCACGTAGAAGGGAAATAATAAAATAATAAAAATAAAACATAATAAAATAATTCTCACGACGTTTCGGCCACAACGCAAGCAGCCGTCCTCAGGTGAAAAACAGGTCTGTCGGGAAGACAGCGTCTGTGGCCGAAACGTCGTGAAAATTATATTATTATGTTTTATTTTTATTATTTCCCTTCTACGTGACTTTACCGAAAGAACTAAGAAGATGAAAGCACACTAAGTTATTAACTTATTTTTGAGAAACGACCTTGCCACAAATGATAGCTCAACAAAAGTGGCTTATCATGTTTAAGAACAGTGGACATGGCTCGAAGGGGACACTGGTCGAGTGGCAGCCGAGCTCAGGAAGGCACCCAAGAGTACCGTACAACAATCCACCGAGCAGATGGGTCGTAGGGGATGGCAATGACTTGGCGTGGCCGTCATGATGGTGACGAGGGGCTTGTGGTTCAGGCGTGGGGCCCATAGGAGTACTGGATGAAGATACTTCACCACGCTGGTCATTGCAAGTTTTCTCACGTCCTACTGCCCCCTATATCCTGGCAGAGCTACTTATGCGCCTCACGCCACCGTGATGAGATGTTAACTACCTCGCCTGGTGTACAGGAGGTCGTGGGTTGGATCCCAACCCTGAAGCCTGCTGCTGTATATTTGGAGTTTGTGTCTCTCTCTCTCATCGTCATCACGGTGGCTAGGAGATGTTAACTATCTCGCTTGGCATACAGGAGGTCGTGGGTTCGATCCCGACCCTGACGCCTGCTGCTGTATATTGGGAGTTTGCGTGTCTCTCTCATCATCATCACGGTGGCTAGGAGATGTTAACTATCTCGCCTGGCATACAGGAGGTCGTGGGTTCGATCCCGACCCTGACGCCTGCTGTTGTATATATTGAGTTTGCGTGTCTCTCTCTTCCCGTGGCCACGTGGATTCTTATTCCGGGTCCTCCGGTTTTTCCCTCCACATTTAGAAACACGCGTTTAGAGCATTTGGCTGCTATAAATGTCCACGTGATAAGCCACTTCGTTGAGCTATCATTTGTGGCGAGGTTGCTTCTGAAAAAGCTATATAGCTCAGTGGGTAAAATGAAAATAAAGTAAAAATAGTTTAAAAACGGGGGCAGTGGCGACACCTCTTGTTCTCTTAAGTAAATAAATAATCAACCTTTCCATTATCTTTCCCGTCACATAAATATACAGACCCGTATCTAATGGGGATAAAAGGGTTCCATAGCTATAAACATCTGATAGGTCACCATCATTTGTTCAAGCAAGACAACTCTGCTGATAAGACACTTAATGTCAAAACCGGTTTTATTTGCTTGTATTTTAACCATTAACTAAAAAAAATCACTCCCAGAAGGCCACGTGTCTGATGGTATATATAAAATACTTTTATTTTTTTAAGTGGGGAGACAATTATAGGAAACAGTCGTATTGTCTGCTTATTTATTTTATTAGATTCTCCATAACTTTGCTCATGAGTATTGTATCTACAGTGCCACTCTTAAGTGCACAAAATTGCCAAAAACACAATTGTTTGAAGGATGGACGTGGATGAACGTCTAGATATGGCCAAGGGGAGGCGCTAGGACCGAATGTCTCTGCGTTCCTGGTTTCTCAGTGAAGACTTTGACGCAGTCTAAATTGCAACCACTTTTAAAGAAACCGATGCCAACGAGGCCACGTGGTGGTGCTGTGGTGACTGAGACACCCCGTTCTCTTGCCATGGTCAATCCACTGTTGAAGCCCCCCCCCACCAAACCAACGTGAGCCCGCACAATCCTGGAAAGTAACAATCCACTTAGCACGTGTATGTTGGCTGATATTGTCTCTCCATCTTCTCGGCGGACGATATCTCAAGATTAGTCCCATTCCTTGGCTATCACTCTTTAGTCACTCCTTCTCGACCATCCCTTCTAGTTAATGTGTTGACCAAGCTCGCTTCTCTTAAATCCGACTTGGTGTGAACGCACAGAAAACCTATTCTCACTTCATGGAAGTCGAATGAACCGAGGGGATAACTACATTTACATATTTGATTTGCAAGACTGATCTCAACGAGCCCTCACCCAATGATGATAAACTCTCAACTATTTTATTGACGCGTGTTCCACCATGTGAATTCGGCTCACGCTCGTGAATAAAGACAACCTGTGCTGGCCGAGTGTTGCGGTTGGATTAGGTCCGAAATGAAAACCTTAATCGACTGTCAACTGGGTCTGGTTAACATGCAATCGTGACGTCAATACCTGAGGTGTAGTCAGGGTTGCGGGGTGAATCAGGGTCACCGAGATTGAAACGTTTCAACTTTCATTGCGATGGAGATTAGGTTTATCAGATCACCTTACAGATGACCAAACCAAACCCGTGCTATTGATGTAGATTTTCCTGCCCAAATGTACTATATTTTTAAGCTGACCAGTTCTACTGATTCACTTATGCGTTTCTGCAATGAGGTATTCTTCCAAAATCCACTATCTTTTGTCATGTCCAGTACCGTACTTAACATCTTCATGGCGCGAAACAGTATCTACTACCGCAGCAAATACGGTAAAGCAATTTGAAAGATATATAATTTACAGGCCTTTTATGAATCTACTGCTGGATGAAGAGGCACCATGTGTAATGGGTACTATTTGATCATTAGTTCACCACGCCGGTCAGCAGATTGGTGAAAGGAGTCCCAGGACAGGTTTAGATTACTCAACCACCGTTAGCGATGACCAAAAATACAAATTTGGGTCACCGGGTTCATAGCACATTGTGCTGATCACTACACTACCCACTCCACCATAGAAGTGTCACTCCTAGTCTTAAAATATCACCCTTGTAAACATTTGATTGTATGCCCTAACGTGTTTTCCACAGTAGCCACTACATTTTGGTGTAGTGGTGATCAAATTTTACGTGGTAACTTTACAAGAAATTGTAGAAAAAAATTCCATCCATAAATAACACGAAATTCACGAGGTTTCAACAGATTTATTATTTTTTCCTTCCACCCTGAAGGAAATTGTACAGCTTTAAATCAAAGTGCAAAGACGTATGAAGTTCTCTTCGTTTTTCAAACATAAACACCACTTGGGAATAGGCTCCGGAACAATACACGGCAATGAGCCCAGCAAAAAGCGAACAGGACAGGCACCCCCCTCTCGTGAAAGCGACCATTTTAGCAACACGGCGGCAATTTTTGTCGCGCACCAAGTTCTTTGCTCCCCTTTAGGGGATTCTCTTTCAGTGGGCAACACACGGCAACGCCGACGAGAGAGGATTGGGTCGGACACACAGCAAATACATAATATATACTTCTAAAGACGTCCAAAAATTAAAGCAAGGGCAGGCGATACCTGCACTCATTATGCATGAAATAAAAATGTTTTTTTGGCCAAGCCAAAAAGCAGAAGCGGCAAATGGGACGGTTTGTGAAGCGAGCGTGCGAGCAGGCAGGCGGGTCCGACGTGCAACTGCAATGGAACAACGTGACGCGACGCTGCGACACGCCATCATCTTACACGGCCACCACCAGCGTGACGACCTACCCACTCGGCTCACTTTGGGATACGAGGATGTCAACGCCATCACAGAAACTCTGCACCCCTTCCACCCATTCAATGCGGCTTTAGCGCTACACATCACACGATTCAAATGAAGCAGATTCTGATTACAAGAGCTGGACAGAGGTTACCACGACCGTCATTGTTAGTCTTGTTATCGTAATACACTGAATTAAGGGATCAAATTCGGTTAAACATTTGCCAATTACTTTCCAACCTAAGAGATGCTGACATGCTGTATTTTTATTTTTTTCCCTCCTGCACTCTTTCACTCGCATCCCCTTCTCCCCCACCAAACCTCCCCCCCGACAATTGCTCCCATTTCTACAAAAGTCCCGCGTGGTGGCATGGTGGCGTGGCGAGCCGCTGCGCCACCGTTACGAGTCCCGCCAGCTCTGCTCCACGACGGCGGACACCTTCTTCTCGTACTCGCGCTTGTTCTCCTGGTACAGCTGTGCTGCCAGGCTGTTGGCAGGGCTGTTGGGGTTGGGCTCATCCAGCAGAGACTGCAGTGACAAAAGACCCCCAAAGGGTGCGCGCATTCAGCAGCGTTAGCGCACTGGCTATGACTGCGTAGTCGCAAGAGCTCTAGTCCATCTACAGGGGTGCAACGTGAACATATGGAAACTCACGTTGCTATTATTTAAAGTCAGGAACGGTGGTGCACACATGTAGTCCAGCACATTACAAACAAGGATTGGCAGATAATGTGAATGTGAAACTTCCAAACAATCCGGGCTTTGAGGGAGCCAGGGAATTTAAGAAGTAGTTTTGTGAATCGATCTCTGCGACCGTTTGAGTATTATAACCCTCGTATGCATAGATTTTTCTCTGGGTACTCGGTCTAAAACTTGTCCACAATACATTCCCTTATACCGAATTTGATACACATCCCATTGCACAACCTTCTCTTGAGAAAGGCTTTCCTTCCTAAAATTAGTGACATTGTTATATTTATAATTAAGTGGTGGTAATAGAAAAACAGCAAATGTGTCCTCTTTTTTGGCAGAGCAGTGTAGTCCTCCTGATCTATTGCCAGAGTTGTGTCTGGTTTTAACAGAGAACAGCACTCATTGTGGGCCATGGGGGCATACCTAACCACTCTGTTCCACCATGTAGAGCCCTGCATTTGGTTGGGTACCCACGGGTGATCCCGCAGTGCGCGTCTGAAACTAAGTAGTTTTTACACCCTGCCGTTGGAGTGCGAGTCAGACATCAGCCAAACATAAACACAAACCAATCCGCACTCCAACGGAAAGTCGCAAACACAACTTAGTACCGACCCGCTTTGCGAGTACCCATTGGTGTCCAAACCGACGCAGGACTAATGACAGACGTCAGGGAAAATGTAGTGCGAGCGACCAACCTGAATGGAGGTGAGGATGGAGGATACGTCATAGGTTGGACTCCACCGGTTCTGCAAGATGTCCAGGCATATACTGCCGTCTGCGTACACTGAATGAAACACATGCAAGTGCTCCGTTAACTCAAACGGCATTTCACATTAAGTTTTAACATTAAATCTGCTAATCTGGCTTTGATTCCTGGAAACAGCGAACATGAGTGGTGCAATATATTACGCGGTCCTGGTGCCCCCATTTACCAATCTGCACTGACTAGTATGATGAATTATAATTAAACTACCCCTACGTCTGAGGAGGATTGACAAAGGGTTGCACTTTTTTGTGCAAATGAATCATCCTTTTGTAACAAATAATTGTTTAATGGAAAGATAAGCGTGACTAAGCTTGCCTGGGTGTTAAACACAAGTCATGTCGACAAATTACAGGACTGCACGCCCCACTTGGCATTAATGAACACCTGTTTTTAACCAGAGTTTGCCTGCACTCAAGGAACATTTGTAATTAGCAGCGTGGAATGAATGTGTCATATTAATCAATAAGGCAGCCAATGAAATAACCAGGTACCAATATCACAGCACTTCATAATTAATCGCGATTAAGAATACAGAACATTTTTTCGTTTTACTCCTTGGCATTGTCAAAGGTCAACAGCGAGCTAGTGCAATTAACATTCAACTTTTCATTTCATAGGTAACAAGTATAACCCGTAAAAACAAAGTTTTTCACTATAAATCCTTTATATGCGTGGCGGCTAGAGTCCTCTCGTCCTCTGGCTTGAGATGGCTGCCACCTATGGGTCAGATGATTGCATTGCACCATTAAGCAATTGGTAATAAAATATAATATTTTTGTCCTAAAAAGTGTAAAATTTTGGAAAAAAAATGTCACGAACATTAATTGTCACGCACAATTAATGTCAGCTCGATTGGATCACGGGAAGTGGGTTAAAAAACGACCGAAAGATTTGCACGGTCATAAGCAAGCAAGCGAACTTAATATAAAGGATTAAAAAAAAGAGATTTGTTACTTTGAAGCAAGGCTGACGCATGAGGAGAACCACAACTCACCATTGGGGTGAAACATTTTTGACACGAATTTCACTGTGGGAGGCTTGTTAGGGTATTCTTCCGTGAACTCCAGCGTCAGCTTGAACGTTCCTGCAAAGCACAACAACAGCGGCCGCAATCAACACCACACCACCAAGAGCAGCAACAGCAGTGCTGTAAATCAGTCTCTTGTCAAAACACCAACACTTTGCCTCACAGTTGATCGCTATAATTTACAAAATCAGCAAGCCTGTAACTAACAAGCAATAGCGGGCTGCAGTGTTAACAGGATAATCAAGACAAGGCTTGGCTTTTTTTAAAATGTTCCACAAATTCACGAGTTACCACAGACACTACTCACTCATGGACAAAACCGTGTACAATAACAAAATTCAGGACCTACTTAATGATGGTAGCTATACACACATTTCAAGAGATCCCACCAACAACCTCGTTACAAAAACGAAAAGTATCATCACTGATTCAGCTTCATTAATTGAACAGACCAAACGGTTTTCCTCAAAACCTTCTGCTGCTAGACCACCCAGATTATATGGCTTACTAAAAATCCATTAAAAAGGTACACCCCTTCGTCCCATCGTCTCCATTGGCTCACCCACCTACAAACTGGCCCGATATCTGTCTGAGATCTTGCAGTCATTCACTGGTAAGACCACCTCTTCTGTACTTAACTTAGATCATCTGGTATTATCAATTAAATACATCTCACTCTCCCCAGGTGATTTGCTCGTTAGTTTTGACGTAGTTTCTTTGTTCACCAAAGTTCCTGTGCCCGATACCATTGCAATCGTTGAAGATGTGGTCCAACAAGGACTGAATGCTGATGTACCGGCCCTGGTGAGACACTGCCTCACCAATACATACTTCACCTGGTATGGAACATTCTACAAACAGAAGGCACCCCAATGGGTTCTCCCTTATCTCCAGCTGTGAATTGAAAAAAGGCTGCACTTGTAGTTGTAAATAACAAACCGACATTATGCCAATTCCAGGGCTCAGAGAGTTTGCCAAGTGTTGATTTAAATAACACTGTGCCATGTGAGCCGAGTGTAAATGAAACGACCCTAAATGACCGCTACTTTTTTTTGTCAGGGGCAGTCAAGGTCGCACAGTCGAGCGTCAGCAGCAGCATGGGAAGGGGTGGGGGTTGGGGGAGGGAGAGGAGCGACCAGGCTGAGTGTCCGTGCTAGGGCTCTAGTTAGGCACGGCATGCCCAGGCACGCACACTCGCTCCCTTCTTCTCGTCAGTCTCCACCACAACACAGCACTAGGACTCACAAAACCGAATGGGACAATCAAAGGCCACAATGGGATGATGGGGCCAGAATCGCATGTGTCCTGCCGCCTTTCTCTCCTCCAGTGCTGATGCCGACACTTGTTTTATTGAAGTCAATCATACCAGTAACATCACTGCGTAGGGTTTTCACGGTTGTGCCGTACATCTTTCCGATATGTTTTCAGGTTGTATGCGTGGTAAAAGCAGAACAAATATGAGAGTTCAATCATCCCAGGTTCACCTATTCACACTGGTACTGTGCATCATTATCAGGAATAAAACTTGTTGCAATTATATTGCAGTGCACAAACCACGATGACACTGCTACCCAAATTGCAAATCCACACACAAGTAGTTTGGTCTGCACTACTCTAGCCCAAGTGCAAGCTGGACATTTACATTTTAACCAAATTGTTGCTGCTAATGTAGTACAATGGCAGACGAACTTTGGGCTCAGTGAGCAGGAATGTGGATGAAACGTGAACCGTCCTGGTGGGGCATTATTTGACTGCCTTAACAAAAAACTGTACACGACATCACAGGTGCTTCTTTGTCACACAGTTCACCTCGAATTTCAGCCCAATCACACACCCGCTGCTAACAGCCAACACCCAAAGCAACATTGGCAAAAAGCTATAGAATTAAAATCAACAGATAAACTTGCACAAGAGCATCTACGCATCGTGATGGGGTTTAACACGTAGGCTTTCGCGACCAATAATATTCATAATAAAGGAAATTTATATTTAGATCGAGTAAATATTAAGGTGTCGTTAACTCACGTAAACAAAAAGTGCCAATTAGTTACTACTTCAGCACAAGCCACAACATTCACAATTCCAGGATGATGTTTCGCTGGTGATTACAACCAGCTTCATCAGGCGATTTTCCAGAATTGTTCAGAAGTCTTCCTGTTTCGGTCTTAAATAGAGTAAAGGGGATGCCATCACTGTGAGCCTATCAGGTGTGAAAACCAGAGGGGAGGGGTTAATGTAGTCATGATGGAGTTTGGAAACCACTGGAGCTGGGTAAAAAATATTCATTACAATATGCATTACAAAGAAGGGTTCTTGAAGTTATGCTTACCTAGCCTACATCTCCTAGGCTGTCCAACATAAGTTTGAAGCATCGTTAGAGAAAATATACTTTAAAATTAGTTAGGTGTCATATCATTCTAGTGATGACACTGCATTGTAGTGAACCATTTGGGAGTGATGACACACGAATGTCACTCGATTACCATAATGACAGGCTTGTCTGAAGTTTTTTTTCTTTCATTCATTCACGTATTAATTATGTAGGAGAGCCAGGAACAGTCTCGAAAATATCAAAGAGATAACAGCTGTCAGTTTGTTGGTTAGTATTTTCTAAAATCCAGCTTCACAAACCCCATTACAAACCCATTTCTGGGCTCACATTGGGAGATCAGCTCACAACAAAGCTACCTTCATGAGGACAAAAATCCTGTGTTTGTGGGTATCACCAAATCCCTGCAGCATGCTCTACCTGGGCCAATATCGACCACCAGAGGTTATGCTTTATGACAGAGTGACTAGGACGTCATGGAAAGCAACACTTCACCGGGCAAACATCTGCATTCCCACCACGATGCGACATCTCCCAAAGTAATGGGGGAGTTTCTTACGTGCAGATTCACGATGCATGGGCGAGAAAAAATAGGTCACCACTACCAACACACCAAATCGACAAATCCAGAGGGGGCCTCGTCGTCCCGTGGCGGTGCGACGAGCGCTCTGTCAACCCTATTGCTAAGGCACAAAACACAGGCCCTGACAGCAAGGTTGCTCAGGGACTGGCCAAGAGAGGCATCATAGCAACTCCAGCTGGAGTCTTTAGGGGAAAAACCTCCACAAATAACTATGTCGTGCAGGAACATAAAAGTTCTCATTAAAAAAAGTTGTGTGCCAATTATTTTGTTAGGGTGATTTAGTTTGTCTCTTTAAACCTAAAGCATTTTCACTAAATCCCAAGTCAATGTCTGTCCCTCAACTTTAAAATTGGAACTCGACAACAGTATTTATGTTTTCTTTCAATAGTTCCAACAAAATGTAAAACTAATGAGCCTAACACGCTGATCATACATGGGTGCAAGTTAATACATTTCAGTTCACAGGCAAGAAGAGTATATTCTTGGGTTTTTCAGTAAAGTCACATAGATAGGTTCAAAGAAAATAACAAAAAACTAAAACTACGACCTTTCGATCGCAACACAAGCGGTCGTCTTCAGGAAAAGGGGGGTTAGCTTCCAAAGGCAAACTATTTATACAGATTTGAAATGGGCGTAGCCCAAACCAAATGTCAGGAGCCAATGTTAATGCAAGTGGTGGGCAGTCAACCCGACGGTGGTTGGTTTTCCACCAATCAAAGGGCTACCAGGTGAAAATTAGCATGTTAATGAGAGATTAGCATGTTAATGGTAGATCGCAGAGCCGCAACCGAGGGGTCGGCGCTCGAAGTGGCTGTGTTAGTGTGAATCCTGTGAAAGCGCAAGTTTGAAATGGGCGTAAAGCACAACTAACATCGGAAGGTGGTAGGATGGGAACATCATATCCAGTTATGACTTAAACTGGTTGATAAAGTCCTTCCAATGATTGCTCAGTTTGTGCCCATCCTCTCGGTTGAAATTGTGTCTGTGTCTATATATACGTATGGCTTCATGAACGAATCTTTGTTGATAGCCAGTGGGCTTGCAAAGTACCTTCGTCTTAGAGAAATACATTTCGTGTGAGTCCATCGCATTGTGTTACGATCGAAACGTAGTTTTAGTTTTTTTCTCTGAACTTATCTACGTGACTTTACTGAAAGACCCAAGAATATGAATTCCTGCAGTCAAGGCAAGAAGAGGTTCAGGAACCAATTGGCAGAGCAATCGAGAATGCCATTCCACTGATTTACACAGCGGCTTTAACACCGTCACCGTTAAATAAGAGTGGGAAGGATGCCAACTCACCATCCTCAAACGGAGTTCCCTCGGGCCTGAAAAGCATAACGAGAACACAAATTAAGGATGCGTTTTAGTGGGCTTATACACAGAATGTGAACACGGATCACCCTGCCCAGCTTCGTGACAAAGCTCGGTCCGTAAAAAAAAGACACGTGGAGCCAGTAAAGATGACGCAGCGACATTCCTCATCAATTATTAATCGTCGGGGTGCATAAAAGCTTGTGATGTTCCATAAATCTCGCCGACGCTTAGGTAAAATCAGGGAGACTGCAATCCCAGTTAAAAACTCAGGGTGCACATGTCGTTGGGTATAAGGGACATTCTTGGCACGGAAGTGGATGGTAATACAAGAAGAACGACGGGTGCTTTGGGGACCGTCAGAGGTCCCCCACCTGACTTACCCAAATATAACTGCGTTCCACAGCATAATGTTGTTTTCTGAGGGCGCCCCACTCACTCCTGCCGGAGGGTCCTCCTGTAACCTGAGGCGGGGAAGAGATGTGGGGAACGGGCATTGAGGAATAACATGTACAGTGCAGGGAAGACAAAGAAGAATGACACGCCTGATCCAATAACAGTTTCATAATCATGTACTACAGAAAACTAAATGTAAAAACCATAGTGTTTCAACATTTGTATTTTTGTTTATGTTTTATAATACAGATGCATATATGTGCCAAAACTACATTACATATGTTATGATCATTATAATATGCATTCAGATTCAGGACAGAATTTTACATTATAAACGAGCATAATACACCTCAATGAACAAAGTGAGCTGCTCTGCTATGCCATTTATGCCGATTACGTCAGAGGCCCTCAATGCATCACTAACAGGCAACTCACCCGCGCAGCCATGAGGAAACGAAACATCCTCATATGCTGATAATAACTTCGACTAGCGGCTATGCCTGCCAAGCGCAGGCATAGCCTGGGCCCCACGAATGCTGAGTCATCTCCGTCGCCCACAGAACTGGAAACCGCTGTGGTGGCTCGGTGGGGCTCAGCAAGAACAACACGAGTGGCAAAACAACCTCGATGGAGGCTCCTTAAAGAGTCTGCTCTGAAATCCACCTAAGATCTGCATTAATTTCCATCACCAAGGAGGTGCTGTTTTTTAGACAATCTTCTTTACAGAATGTCACCAATTTGATTTGTAATTTCCATTAAAATATAAAATGCTAATGACTGCATTTGAATGTCTCAAGAACATGATTACCTCATAAAATTAAAATATGCAACAAAGCACTGCACTGAACGTTAACACCGAAGTCAGAATAGCAGCTAGCAGCTCATATGGCAATTTTAAATTAATGGATTTCCTACAAGATACTTTACAAGGGAGATGGCAAAGTCAACATGAACTGCCAACAAAGGACCTGAAAGTAAATCATTTGCAATTAAAACTAAATTGATGTAAAAGCCACAGATACTAAAATATGGAACGGGTCTTGTTGAAGCCACACACGGAACAGTAAAATGTGAAAACGACTCATTCTATTGCATCATGCGTGTCCAGGGTGAGCTGTCAGCTTCGGCTACACTAGAATATGCTCGGAGCCAGCCAAGACATTTGTTTTCTTCTCGACATCACGAACACCTTTTAAGGCTCGACTCTGCACACACGACTAGTACATGTGGACAAGGGCGTTAGAAATCAGCTGACTGCTGGGCAGCTCTGTGTAGCGTGACAAATTGACGCGAATGAAACATCAGCCTCATTGAACCCAGTCCTGCTCTCACTAGCAACCATCAAGCACAGTCAAGCATATTCTGGGTTCACTGAAAAGGTCATCATCATTAAACTCTGACGTAGCCTCCTAGCAGGGCACGAGAATGCAAACTACTAAGAGTGGAAACCACAGTGACAATCAATCCACAATACCAGGTCTCCTACCCGTCCTACCTGTCGTGACCTTCCCGTTTCGTTCACGCCGAACCATAGACTTACATTATCCTCCATAATATCTGATGCTCTACAAAAATAGGCATTCACTAAAGACATCATGCAACTCTTGTCCACCATGTTCAGATTGTCTACAAGCTGGTTCTTACGCAAGGGACCACCATGCTAAGTATAGCATTGCTCTTCTCCCCTCTCACCCCGAGGGAGTCCAGATAGTCAACTCTCATAGAGCACTGGAATATGCAATGGTGGATTAAGCAATTCACTCCCAGGACATAAACGTGCAGTGCCCAGCACACTCGACCCACAAAGCCAGAAAGCCACGTTCGGAAAATGTATACTGCTCAACAGTGAAACTGAGCATATGATAACGGAGTCAACTGGTGTGTGGATTGCTAATGACAGAGTAAGGTGTGCATTAACCTTCATTTCTCACATATCATTTGACACGGGTATACATTATCAAAGGGGTAAAAAGTGGGTAGTGAACTTGACTACAACCCGCCTGGAAAAAATGTAGAGTAAATACTCCTCTGAAGAAGGAGCCCTAAGTGAGCAAAGCCAGAGCATGTGGACAGGTTCTAAAGCAGCTTGAATCCATGGGAAGGGGGGAAACGATAATCCTGTCTTTCCTGCATTGCCCCTTTGCACTGTACGTCACATAAGCATACCTACAACAAAAACAAGAATCCTCACGTAGCCTTGAACAGGCTGATGAAGAAAATGCTGTTCGCGAGTACCTATGCAGGCTAGAATTGGCAGAAGCTATGGTGTGGCCGTGACCACACTTGGCCACCTTGGTCCCACCGTGGTGGTGTTTACAGACTGCATGGCGAGGTGCCATAACAATTACGCCGATGCTCCACCCCAAACATGCATACACACAAAACACGTGTGTATAGCCATGTGACAGTGCATTTGAATTGTGGAAACAAGACACAGAAAATCTAAACACATCATCATTGGTATTAAATGCACGTGTTAAAAAAATGGACTAAACAAGCAACACATCTTTTTGTTTAAAGCTTTCGTGACTGCAGGGATTCATCTTCTTGGTTCTTTACCGAAAGAACCAAGATCATTAGTATTCTTGGTTCTTTCGGTAAAATCACGTAGAAGGAAAACAATCAAAAAATCTAAAACAATAAAATTCTCACGACGTTTCGACTGCAACACAAGCAATCGTCATCTGATGATTGCTTGTGTTGCAGTCGAAACGTCGTGAGAATTTTATTGTTTTATATTTTTATTATTTTATTGTTTCTCTTCTACGTGACTTTAACAAAAGAACCAAGAAATATGAATCCCTGCAGTCACGAAAGCTTTAAATCAAAATTTTACATAATCATTAGCTTTGTTTTAAAAAATATATAAGTTCCAATACGCCTTCTTCATACATCTGTAGCTCCAATTTAACACATGTGAGTCTGTTTTACTCATCCAATGAATGTCAAAAACGGTCCAGAGCTTGCTTGTTCGAACGAATTCTGTTGAAATTCCGCACTCCCAAGAAAGGCGAGTGACTAATGGGGATGTGTAAAAATCACTTGTATTCATGTTTCGGGGCAGATATATGAAAGAGGGGTAGTGTCTCGTTTGCTTATTTATTTTGTTAGAGGGTCTAAACAAGCATGGGGTTTTTTTTGTAGAATCACGGAATTCTTTTTACTCAGGTATTGCCTACACAGGCCCGTTGCGTAACTTGCGCCGCGGCGAACACGTCTGAGGTTTCTGAATAACTCTGTACATTATCAACTTGTCTCATCACGGAAGACGTGCATCTTGCGTTTAGGTTTTTTTTTACCAGACTCTTATCGCGCCATAACTAAACAACGTTCGTTATCATACAATGTGACGCACTGCACGGCTGTGACTCGACACTTAACATCATTGGAGGCCCCAAGAAATTCTATTTACTGTGGCTGTTCAGAACGTTTCTAAAAAAAAAAAACCTCCTACGACGGTCGCTTGGCAATTCTACAAGGCGACGTGAAATATTCCTTGGCGACGTGGATTCTCGAGTGTGGCCCATTGTGTGCCACCGGAATCGTGACCCAAATGTTGACAGTACTAAAACAAATCAAACACCATTCTAAGCTCGCACCTTTAACCTCTTGATGTTGTTTCAATCTACAAGACCACGGCTAACCCATGTTTGATTTACAAACTACGAGTGGGAATAAACAACATTACCAGAGTCGTGTGATAACCGATTGCTTTTATACAATATGCCCCGTGTTACTGGACATCGTCCGAAAGAGAGGGAACCACATATGGATGCGACGTAAATCCACATTTTCTTGTACAATACAGTAGTGTAGTCGTCAATTCACCCAGGAAAACCTCACTGCTGAGCCTCAAAATGTATTTCACAAGAAGGGTCATGTTTGCCTATGACGGCCAACCATTTCCTCAAGGAAATACTCTATTGTGAACGCGATGGTAACAAAAAAAACCCTCTGAAAGCACTCGGCGGCTCTCACGATGACATCTCCTCCGACTTCTCACGTCTCTCAAGAGGGAGTTTCAACCCACACACACGACACCACCATCACACGTACACTGGCCATGGGTCTAAAACACCGCGTACCTGTGTGTGTTGTTATAAACCTTGTACATGTGAGGCATGTGTGTACCTGAGCGATGTCACACATATGACATGTTGTTGTTCGCTTAATGTGTTATAATACATTCTTCACGTGGATGTGTAGCGTGTTTAATAAAGCCATTATTTCAAAACTACGATACTGAATGTATTGCGTATGTGCTATGTACGCTACTACATATTCAACTTGTGTACAGTATTTATGTTATACATGCACTACGTATGGTACATGTGTTGTAATGAGTCAGTACGTTACATGACACTGTAATGAGACGTATGGCCTACGTACATTACACAGTCACGCGCCTTGTATCCGTGATATAAACGTTATACATGTACTATATCACGTTATGCAAGTGCCACACATGTTATCCGCTAATGTACTGCCACGTATTTGCCATGTATGTGGTAGGTATGTGGTATGTATGTGTGTGTGTGGTATGTGTGTGCTGGGGCCTACTCGGGCCCGCCTCGCCTGGAACCGCACCGTTTGAAGTCTCTCATGAGGCGCCTTCGGGCAGGCGTGGACATCTTTCCTTCGTTGAATCACTTTTGCTTTAAAATAATAATAAAAACACGCGACGTATATATATGTATAAACACGCACGCGATTACTAAAATAACAACAACAAAAACGATAAATAAATAACACAGCCGTCGATCGGCGAACGAGCGCTCGCCGCTCTTTGGCTATTTACACGGGCGAGGTGCGGTGACGTCACCACGCAGCGTCGCCCGCGGAGACGTGACGTCATCGCGCCAATCATTGCGGGGGTGGAGGGGGAGGGACCACCCACCCACGTCACCACGCAGCGTCGCCCGCGGAGACGTGACGTCATCGCGCCAATCTGTGCGGGGGTGGAGGGGGAGGGACCAACCCACCAACCCATTACGTCATCGCGCGACATGCGCCTTGGGACGTCACCGCGGTGTCGTCGTCGGCCACGTATGCGGGTGACGTCATCACG